GGGTCCTTAAGGTATTGCAGGATGTATACCATCAACAGTACAAGCACCAGTGAGGCTCCTATCTAAACCGAAACCCGAAACCCTTAGCCTCAACCCTCCTTCAACGTCCTCAAGACCGCAACCCTAAACCCTAAACCCTAAAACCCTAACCCCTAAACCCTAAACTCTAAACCCTAAACCCTGAGACCGCGAGGTCGCAACAGCTTAAAGGAGAAGAGGAGTCGACCTCTTCCGTGGCTCAGGAGACTGGGGTTAGGTTTGGGGGTTTAGGGTGTGGGGGACTTGGGTTCAGGGTTTCGGGTTTCGGGTTTAGGGTTTAGAGTTAGGATTTAGGGGTATCAGAGTTGGGCTTGGAGTTTAGTTTTTAAGTGGTGTTCTCTCCTCGCTGATTCTCCGTACGTATACGTATATTTTTCTATGTCTCTCTCGCTTTCTCTTTTTCTTTCTTGCTCGATGTCTGCATATCCTGTTCTCTTGTTGGTCTTGCACGCAGACAGACATACCTACCAAAGTACCTACATGCATGCACGCATACATACGTACATACCTACCAAGGTAGATTGTTCCATGTACCGAAGGATGCCAAAGGAGCCTCTACGTACGGCACCGCCTTGGCAGCACCGAGCTCTGACGTAGCAGAGGTACCGCGGCCAGTGTCTGAGGGTTTAGGGTTTATAGGGTTTAGGGTTTAGGGTTGTATCGAAGTGCTTGGGGCCGTAGAGTCTTTGGTGTAGGGTCCTTGAAGGTTAGACGGCTTAACAACAATTTGAGTGCTGGGGCTTTGTGTCTTCATGTTAACCTACGGCGATGTCGTGTCTTGCGACTTTCGGTTCTGGCGCTTCAGGGTGGTATACGGCAAAGTAGATCATCGCCTAGTGGCCTGGGAGACCACAAAGGCATGTACGTGAGGTGCGGTAAAATGCGAAAAGGCTCACCCGTATCAACGACATACTAGTAAATGCTGTCCCATTGTGTACAGCTACAGTCTAGATTGGCCACATATGGTCAACATATGCATCTGTTCGAGATGGGAAGTGGGCATTATATGGCTAATCAGATCCGACAACAACACGTTCCTTCCCACGACGTTTGTTGGGTCTGACACTTCATGTGTAGCCCCAGGTTGCCCGAGACTCGCAGCCATCAAGTAGAAGTGCAGCATCATAGTAGTGGCTGGCTGTACGTTGTCCCTTGCACCCTCCCTGGTTGGACGTCTTGGGCATGTTTTCCTGCGAGCTCAGCGGCTGAGCTTGTTGGAAAAGCCCACAAAATAGATCCAAGATTCTTGGCCCCAAAACTCCAGCAACAGGAGCCGAAACTCTAGTGGAAACAGTCATTCATGTGTAGGCCGTATCATGGTCTATAGGGATCAGGATGATTGCAGGGCACACTAACATGCACTCGACCATCCCTGAACCCCAACACCCTAAATCCAATCCCGAATTCGGTAACTCCAAAGCCCTAGAACCTTACACCCTATAATCCTAAACACTATAAGCCCTAAATGCCCAGCCCCTGCCAAAAAAGCGGTTGGAGGTCCTCCGGCGGCGCTTTAGCTGGCATGAGCGTGGAGAGCCCATGCAGCTGCTGATGACACTCGGATTTAGGGTTTAGGGTTTTCCTGTCGAACACGCGCGCGGACCAACTCGTTCCTTTGGGTGTACACCGTAGGACTTAGTATGGGGGTTTTCATGGAGTCTACTATAGTCATTGACAGATGGAATATATTCTTTGGCCACAAATTACCTAAATAGGAAGCCCTGTATGATCAAGGTTATGCTATGTTGGTGCACTCAGCCCCAGAGGCGTATTGGATTTTGTCCTCACGACGATATTCATCTGTGGTATATACATGCTTACATTTGTTGAAGATGTTCTGGCACGCTGTTATGACATCAACACCTCACCCAAAACCATTTAGGGTTTATGCTGTAGGTTTAGGGTTTATAAGTTTTAGGCTGCAGTGTGTACTATGCTTCATGGCTGGAAGCGGTGGATTCCCAAAGGAGATCCTAAAACATCCGAAACCTAAACCTCTGGCAGCCTAACCCTTTCCCTCCAGGTACCTACTATAGTGGGTACTAGAGTTTCTAGGGCCCTATATAGTAGGTACCTGGAGGGTTAGGGTAAGCCAAAGCAGATATGGACCCGTCCCAGAACCCTCAATCCTAACTCAGCAGCTTGCTTAGGCAAAATTGTGGTCGGACTTCCCTTACCGAATAGTTGTAAGTGATGACATGATGAGTTCAACAAGGGTTGGGCGGATCCGGCCTAAGGGTCCGAGCCGTCTAGCAGTAAGGCATTTAAGTTTGGGATGATTGTACTTGTTTCGCTGTAGGGTTTCTTTTGCGATTCGAGGATGGCAGTGATCAGCGTGGGCGGCCAGTATGCCGCACTTGGAGTGGCTTTGCTTTCTCAATTTGGGCTGTAACAGTTGACGTCGGGCTTGGGTTGATATCGTGGGGTGGATGTTTTGGAAGTTTTGTTTACGTAGATCTAGATAGGTTGGACAGGTGCAGTAGGCCGGGCAAAGGGATTTTACGCTTCCGAGTCTGCGAGGAACATGGCGACACAATGCGGAGGAGGGAGCTGGAAATGGTGAGATTAGAGATAAATACAGCAGCGTGAAGCATCCGTACTGCTATGAATTCTTAGGATACTCTGTATGAATACTTATAGCATGATGTGCTCAGACAAAGTATTCCAATTCTGAAGGCCCCCATGTTAGGCTTCATGCCCTACTAACTAATGCGACAGCAACAAATTCACATGCTTAAGTGTACCGACTCCCTCCAACAACTGGGTTGTAATAGGGTTTTGTGCTAACCCTACACCCTAAACCCTAAACCCTAAACCATAGCATCCTTTGGGGTTCAGGGTTTAGGGTTCAGGGTCAGTCGACCTAACGTTGAAGTCTAGGCAAAAGAAGCGGTCATGGAACCTAGAATGGACACCAAGCTTCGACATTCAGCCATACAAGGAGTCCCTCAAATGGCGAGCCTCCAAAAGGGGGGGTCCACAGCGCTGGATGTCAACCCTATGGCCTTGGACAGTTCAACACATGCCGTTGCACTTTTCGATGCTGTCTTGGGTAGCAGGAGCTTGCGTCAGCATCCTTAAGGCGAGCCTTTGATGCTTCTTATAACGAGGAGGAGGAGGGGAGGAGGGGAGGAGGAGGAGGAGGGAGGAGGATAGTCAGGACGATCAGGATGAAGATGACGATCACGGCCATGACGGCCATGATAAATATTGTTGATGATGTTAATGACTGTGATCATAATGTTCATGATGACGATGATGACGATGATGGTGATTATGATGATGATGATGATGATCGTAGTGGTGATGGGTGATGACAATAGAAGTAACCACGATGAACACATTGAACACCACGACCACCAGCAAGCAAATTTTGTCATAGTTTCATGCCAGCTACGAAAGAGCGAGCCTTGCTAACATGGCCATGTTACAGAGGTTATGGCGCTGACGGTCTATACTTCCAGTGGCCTCTTCGTGACCTGTGATTCGCGACAGCAGCCGCTGGCGATTGCATTTGCCTGCAGCTTGCCTAAACCCCAAATTCTAAACCCTAAAACTAAGCCCTTTGCTCTAAATCCTATTCCGACAGTGCACAGATCGATCCCTTTGCACATGCTTGAGGTGTACACTGCATTCGCTCATTTTCCGAAACTCCCCAAAAGTCACGTCGATGGCAGTGCTCCCACGATCGACGGCACACTCACAAATATAAAGTTTGGGGTCATTACGCTGCCAAGGGTAGTCCAGGATTCCTCAATGTACTGATGGTTAGATACCGGTTTCAGGAAAAGTGTGTATTTCCCTGGTGAGTTTGAGTTCGATGGGGAAATCTAGATACTCCAGATCTGATAATTTCGGCCCAGACTGCGTTGAGCCATGTCATGGGTCGATAGGCTTCGCATGATTGTTGAGCAGGCACGCCACAATAAACTACTAGTCAAACTGATACATCCAAAGCACATTAGAACCTCCTTATTGCCAAAGTCATGCCTTCTTTTGTGGGTGCTCTCAGATCCCCGTTTAGAGAACCCCCTCCCCGGGCCCAACTTGTGGAGACCAGGTGAGTGCACGAAGTCCAGCATGCGATGCTTCGTTCTCTTCGCCATGCTCCTTGGCCACTCCTAGGGATCCCTGTTGTTTTTTGTAGGTCGGCTTTCCTATAACATGTTCAAGAGGGAGCCCGCAGAAACAGGTCCTTCTTTTCTTTCGGCCGAGTTGGGGCCCAGGATCGTGTCTTTGCTGATTGCACTCCGGCAAATTGCTCGGCAGAGGATCTACTACGAGATGCTTCGCCGCTGGGCTCTGCACCCTGTAAGTTTTCCCGGTTCCGGGTAAATCTTCAGGGTCATAGTAGGAGAAAATCCAAAACTCACCTAGTTTTTTTTTCAGGATGTGACCGTTTGCCCATGTGTAAGCTTGTGCAGCTTTGCTGCAAGGCCATCTTCTTCCCTCCTCTGCTGTAGGTTCAAGAGCAGAGGAAAGAGGCCACCTTCTGGGTTCGGAGTTTAGGGGTTTTGGCTACTCTCATCGACTATCAGCCCTAGCCAACAAAGGAAGTGCTTTGAGCTTTAGGGTTTTAGGGGGGTTGAGGGCTAAGGGGCGTAGGAGTTCTCTCATCATCTAAGCCCTAAACCCTAAACCCCTAGACCCCTAAACCCCTGAACCCCTAAACCCTAAGCCCTAAACCCTCGTCTAAGATAGCAAGAAAGGAAGTGTCCACCCGTGAAGTCTGCAGCCCATGGAGCTTTCCATCTCAAGCTTCGTGGGGGGGGGGGAATCCTTGTTCCCTGCAGGGTTTATGTGGGTTTATGTGCTGAGGTTTGTGGCTTAGGGTTTTAGGGTGTAGGGTTTAGGGTTTAGGGTTTTAGGGTGTCGGGTTTAGGTTTTAGGGTTTAGGGTGTAGGTTGTAGGGTCTAGGATATCGAGTGACAGCGATTTGCAGTGTTGAGAGAGCAGTCGAGGTCGCGGAGCCTTGCTGGACTTTGAGACTGTCACCCCCTTCCATGATCCACTGTTTTTGCTTCTGACCTTCTGCCTGCTCATCTCACTGACCCACATGCTGGTGGCAGCGTGGCAGTACCACGAGGACGACAAGTCCGTAGACCAGTTCCTGATGTTCGTGCGGCTTGGTTCTGCAGCTAGCAGGCCCTTGGCTGGGCTCGTCTTCACGCGGGTTTAGGGTTTAGGGGTTGTGCAAGGGTTCAACGAAGCTTTTCGGGAGTGCCTGCTGGCCTGCATCTTGCCTCCTCATCAAGGTTTAAGTTGGGCTCATATACCACGAGCCCAACCCAAGTCCTGAACCTCGAGTCTGAAAACCAGATGAATCTTTCTGTGATTCGGGTTTAGGGACCCTACATCCGAAACTCTCCAGGAAAGCAGTGGTGGTGAAATATGTGGCGCATTCTTGCGTCTTCCTGGCCTTCCTATTCTCAGCGTACGACACAGCCGCTGGGACGATGCAGGTTCTAGGGCGGCTAATCTCGGGACCTTAATAATTAGTCTAGGGTTACGGGATATCGGACTGTCATCTTTTTGGGGACATGAAGTGGAGCACTGCTACTAGTTGTTCTGATCCCTTGATCGGGGAAATGGCCGGAACTTCAAGACGAAAGCCGTTTGTAGAGAGAACCCCGATCGGAACACGACATCGATGTCCTCCTTAGTCCTTGTAGTTCCTACTAAAACACACCGCACCACCGCCGTACTTGTTCCAGTTATTAATGGCCCCTTGTTGCTGCAGCCGTTATCCCTGTCTCTCGGAATCATCTGAGTCATGGCAGGTATTTGTAATCCAAAATCAAAAAGACATGGGTGGATCAACAAAGATAGTGACACAATGTCAGTAAGCGCACATACAGATAAATAGATAGGTAGGTAGATGGATAGAAGGATAGAAGGATAGATAGATAGGGGGGATTCCGACACCTGACCCTCAAACTAGTGGCTAGCATCGGCCAGGCCAACAAAAATAAGTCCCGGAGCCCGAAACCCTAAACCCCATAATGACCCTACACCCTAAAGCCTAAATGCAGATCCGAACAACCCTAAACCATAAAGCCCTTACTAAATAAAGCCCCAAGGACTAAAATCCCTAAACCCCTAAACCCTAAACCCTAAACCCAATCCCCATAACTGGCCCATAACCCAAGGACTAAATCAGGTTCGAACCCCGGAACCCCAACGTGGCGTACCGAAGGAAAACCAGCTCTTACCCCTCAGCAAGTATGTGGAGGAAGACCCGGTTGCTGCAAGGCCCGATTCAGTGTTTAGGGATTTAGGGTTTGGGTTTGGGTCTAGGGGTTTAGGGGTTTAGCGGTTTAGGGGTTTAGGGGTTTAGTATTTAGGACTCAGGGTTTGAGGATTTAGGGTTTAGGATTCTTTTCTTGTTCTTATAGGCGTCCTTTAGAGATCAGAGTCTCTGCTGAACCGATCGCGTGGTCTCGGTGGTAGCTGCCGTCGAAATGGAGAGTTTCAGACGGTCAGGGGCACCCTGCTTTAAGTCCTATTTTTTTGTGTGGGGATGCTACCATTGAGGGGTCTATTCTATTGCCCCCTCCTTTGTCTCAATCACCAGCAAGCCGAGGGTTGCCTAATTTGGGACTTCAGCCGAGTCACCCTTCAATGCTAAGAGCCGCATACATGGCATACAGACAGCCCTAAACCCTAACTCCCTAAACCCTAGACCCTAAACCCTAAACCCTCAAGAAAGAAATAAATAGAAATTGCTTGTTGCTGTTGACCGTTCCAAAGCTCACATTTTCGGTCGGGACACAATGTTGCCAT